CGTCTGCCTTCGGCTCAGGTCATGATCCCAGGGTCCTGGGATCGAGCCCCGCATCGGGCTCCCTGCTCAGCGGGAAGCCTGCTTCTCCCTCTCGCACTCCCCCTGCTTGTGTTCCCTCTCTCGCTGTGTCTCTCTCTGTCAAATAAATAAATAAAATCTTTAAAAAAAAAAGAAAAGAAAATACCCACGTATAGTTTTTTTTGCTGTTTCCCTTCAATAGCCCAAACTACGAGCACACATTGATATATTATAATGCATATATTGATATATATTTGATGAGATCTTGCCATCAAAGGTATCATGATGGGTTGTAACTGCATTTCTGTGAAGGATGATGATGGCATGATGGTGTCACTCTGTGGTTCTATACACTTGGCTGTGTGTGGGAGGCATACGCTCAAACCTGAGCCAAGGTCACCTTGGGCATCAGATGTCTCTGGGGATGTGCGAAAATTTGGCAGGTGGGCACATGAAGAGTTTACCCTCATGTCAGATAGTGGATGGTCCCAAACAAGAAGTCCCTCCAGGGAAAGAGAGCAAGGGGCCAGCCCCGTGCAAAAAGGAGCACGACAAGCACACACCACCCTGGGCATTCTGCATGTTTCTCAGGGCCGGTCAGGCACAAACTTTCTACACGAAGCCATAAGGTTTGGGGAGTAGAAGGCAGCACTCGAATGCAATTCCCTTGATGAGTTAAAAAAAATGGAATCTCAGATGACTTTTCAGCCATTTGTGATTTTTCATCGTGGCCATCAGTCCTGGGCTTGGAGAAAGAGCTAGTCCTGGACCTAACATTCAAGAAGAATCGTTAGCTGGACAGTGTTCCTTAATGATGGAGGCAAAGAAAAGCAGCTGGAAAGAAACACCTAAGCTATTCTTCAAGCCCTAGATTGAATCTGAAAATATTAGCTTGAATGTAAAAGAAATTTCCAGTTATGCTTAAAAGCAAACTATTTCCATGTGAAAAGTATCCCAATGAGCATGCATTTGTTGGATTTTTTAAAACTATTTTGAAACTTTGCCCTATGTGTGAATTTCATAAATTCTCAGATGACAGAAATGTAGTCTAATTTTTTCTAAAATTTTGCCTTGTCATTTCCTTCGAGAACACCTGGAGACTTTTGGGAAGTGAAAGAACAGTATACTTCAGCTCTACTTCAGGTGATTATGAATTCACCACCAAATATTTTGAGAACACTTGGAGTCCTGAGCTTCATGCTCCTAAGGCCCTCCCTTGGTGACTGGAAACTGCCTTAAAACCCTTCCTGAACCATCTACCAGCTTCATAATCTGGGTCAGTTGCTTTGCTCTTCCCAAACCCTTTCCTGGATGCTCCTGCCCACAGGCTTGTGCAGACTGAGCAAGACAGTTGCTGAGGTTGAGCACTGCACTGGTAGAACCACGTTTTGTTTTGTTTTTTCTTTTGCATTTGAAGAAGGCTAAGTGAATAAACCAGCCATTTTGCAAAGAGCTAAACTACAGCTATCTTCCAAATGTCCTATCTTGCCCTATCTCTTCCGTGTATCTTTATGTATAACCCTTTGATGCAGGCCATTCTTTCAGATAATATCCAAAACTATTACCATTCAAACAGACACAACTCTACATAGATGATATGGGGCAGGGGAAAACAGAAACCAGGGGGCTTATAGTAAACACTTTTGCTGGGAAAAATATGGATTGAATGTAAGTAAGTATTGCTCTCTGTAATCTGGTTACTCATGGCCCTAGAGTCATGGCCTTATCAGAAACAGAAGGAGAGACAGAGAAAGACGAAAATAAAATGCTGGGAATTTCAAAAGTTGGCAGCAGAGATGCTTTCCTCACGATGATGATACTCCCAGAATACATTGGGGAGCTGGGCTTTACCCCCAGGAATCACTGTCACGTGATTAAGCATATATTCTTACTCAAGCACAAACAAGTGTATCCAGAAAGTTGAAGACTGATCAGTATGACAGCTTCAAAACCCACTGTTATTAATGAGAGAGGATGTGAGTTTGCTGAGCTCTGCCAAGATATGTGAAGGGAGGATGGGAGCAATTTTCCTGGTAAGGAGGGAGGGGTAGGTAGCTGGGCCAGAAGTGACAATAATGCAACTCTTGATGAGAGTTAGGGATTTAGGCCTGAATCACTTCATGTTGTCTACACAACCATTCTAAACAGAACTGAAACCCATCCATCCAAAGTTCTCTGGAGACTCAGGTCAAGATACTGTGAAGAAATATTCTTTTAGCACTGGGGTTTATCAAGCTTAAGCTTCCGGTAAAATACAGTTCAAAGTGCCTTCACCAGGAGCAGAGGCTTCAAGGAGCAGGAAGGGGACCTGGGCGACCAGCCAGGCGCCCCAGGCAAGGGCAGGGGAGGGGGCAAGGGGCGGTGCACTCTGGCTTACCATGCTCCCTGTGGCTCTGCAGTCCTGCAGTCTGAGCCCCAGATTGGATCCGCGGTGCTGCGTGTGGGTGGCTAAAACTGAGGGCAATTCGGCTGCCAAGGGGACAAACTCCGGGTCCAGGGCTGTGGTGGTGGGAGGCCGAGGGGTGGCAGGACCTCTGGGAAGTGACCTGCAAGCTTTCCCCAGTGGCTCCCAGACTCCAAGTAACTTTCCCGCGCACCCTCTCACACACCATCCACCAGGGGAGAGAAAGGGCTGTGGGGAAGGTTCTCAACCCAAGCTGCCCAGAAAACTGGAGCGGGTGAGGGCAAAGGGGCTCCGAGAGGGGCGCGGGGACACAGGAGCTACCCCGAGGCCCCGAGCCCGCGGCCCGCCTGAGCCCCCGCCCCTGCCCGCGCCCCAGGCGCCCACCTTGGCATAGCAGAAGCAAATGAGCAGAAGCGGCAGCAGGTAGCCAAAGACGAAGGTGCACACCACATAGGCCTTCTTGTGGCCCTGGTTGGGCCACTGTTCCCAGCAGAAGGTCTGATTGCTGACTTCCAAGTGGAAGAGGCTGTAGTGGTAGGCCACGGGCGAGGCCATGGCGATGGACAGCGCCCAGATGAAGCCCAGGCCCAGCAGCGTATTGCGGGACACCCGCAGGGAGGAGGAGCGCCGCAAGTGCACGATGGCCACGTAGCGGTCCACCGACATCGCGGCCAGGGTGAAGATGCTGACCAGCATGGAGACAGTGAAGAAGTAGTGGGTGAACCTGCAGATAAAGGCGCCCAGCACCCAGGTGGGCAGCGCGTACACCGTGGCCTGGAAGGGGATGCAGAAGAGCAGGTAGGCCAGGTCGGCGATGCTCAGGTTGAGGATGAACAGGTTGGTAGTGCTGCGCGGCTTGCCCGGCTTGCTGCGCGCCAGCACGGTGATCACCAGGCTGTTGCCCAGCACGCCGAACGCGAAGATCAGGCCGAAGAGCACCAGAGTGATGAAGTTCTCAACGTCGATGCCATAGAGCGGTCTGGGCTCCGGGGCGGGGGGCTTGGGCCCGCTAGCGTTCCCCTCGCTGAGGTTCCCGGCTGCCAGCTCCATGGCCCGCGGGCGCCCGGACGCGCTGGCGGGGGTGCCCTGCTGAGGAAGAAAGCTCGGAGGAGCCAGGGGTCCCGACCCTGAGCACGCAGAGGGCGAGTTTCCGATCCTGAAGCCCCGCGATGGGCACGCACCCTGAGGCTGAGCCTACTGGCACCGTCTTTGTGCGAGGCCGCCTGCGAGGAGCCCAGATCGGGACCTTCCCGGGAACGCGTGGCAGTCCCGAGAGCGCGGGCTTCCCTCTGCCCGGGCGCTGCTGCCCTCTGCGCGGCCGCCCAGACCCGGGAGGAGGGACCCGCCAGTGCAGCTGCAGGGGTGGAGAGACCCCTCTGCGCCTTACCGGTTCCTTGTTCCTGCTGGCCGGTTCCCTCGTTCCCGGGAGTGGCTTCGGGCTGCACCTGTTGCTCTGAGCCGCTCCCTCCCCGCGTCACTCCCGGAGCACAGCCGGTGAGCGGCAGCGCACGCCGCAGTTCGTGGAGAGGGCTGCCCGAGCCTCCACGCCGGCGGCGCCTCCTCTCCCCTCCCAGTTTTTGCAGGGATTCCAAGTGATCTACCGGGTGAGCGCTTTCTGGCCGCTTTCCCGAGGGCTGACAGAGGGGGTGCTCGGGGCCTCTGCTGCAACTGAGAGGTAGAAAGCACAGCTGGCTGAAATCCGCGCCCCTGGGGGCCTCTCCAGTCCCCCGGAAGTCACAGCGCGCGCAGAGACTGCAGGAGTCCTAAAGGGATGGGGCGCCGCCCACCTCCTCGCAGGAATCGGACGCGCTCGCTCGCCTCTGCAAGGTGCGGACCTGCGTGGGTCCAGCGAGGGCGGCAGCTGCCGGGTGCAGCAGGGCCCGGGCGGCGGAGCAGAGCCGAGCGCGCTCAAGCGCGCGGGGCGGGCAGGCGGTGGGGTGCGCAGTCTCCGCATCCGCCAGCGCCGCTCATCTTTTCTTGGCTCCTGTGGTGGCTGTCCCTGAGAGCGCTCCCTGCCCCAGGAATTAAACCCCCCCAGAAATCAGTGACTGGCACTGCAGCCTGGAGTTTTGTAAAATCCCTATTCCCACCCCCACCCTTCCCACCGCTAGGGAGGAAATAAGCAGGAAAAAACATGAATGGCCTGTTTGAGTTTTCATTGTAAACGTCTAAAATATTAAAGGTGTGTTCACATCATCCAACTTTAGATCAGTTTGGCTTTGTGTTTCTCACCTGAGCGACATAAACAGAAGTACTGACATGACATATTTGTGAGGTGGAAAAAACATGTTTACACCAAGAAATTGAGCTGAGGATAGCTGTGAGTAAGCATCATCCCGGTGTGTAATCTTGCTAGTTCCCAACTAGAGAGCTGAAATGGATTCATTTCTTTGCAGCGTTGATATGATGTGTCTCTATTCACTTCCAAGATCACGGTGTGTTTCCAGCCCTCTCCAAATGATGATTGAGGGTCCAGTATGTGGCAGACACAGTCAGGTCGCAGAAGGTTGAGCGGGGTGGGGTGCGCCCTGTGGGTGTGGCACGGCGATTACTTGGAGAACAGACCAAGTGCAGGCACAAGGCTGAGCCTTGGGGAGTGGGGGAAGCAGGTGGTGGGGAATCCTGCTCTCTTTCTGCCTCACCTGTCCTCTCTGCCTCATTTATAGGAAGAGGTTGAGGCAGTTCACTGAGCATCCACCGCAGAGCAAGTACTTCACCTGCACTCATTGTTTCTTCTAATATCCACACACGTTTTCCAGAGGACGAAGTTGAGTTTAAGTAACTTATGTAGCAGAGTATCTTGCTAAATCAAGAAGGCTCTTACCTTCCCTGGAAGGTGCCTCCAAAACTTGTCCATCAGTTGCTTTCCTCCCCAAGGGGTTCTCTGACCTACACGTTGATGGGATCCTGCACTGGGCAGCTCCATTATTTTGGAAGTCATTTGTAATCAAATTTGGGAAAGGGATGTTCTTAATTATTATGAACTCTTTTCAACATGAAACAAATAAGATGAAATTATAGTGAATA